AACTGATTTTTACTATGTAGTTGCCTCAAGTCAAAACATTTTGACTTTGGGGTTTTAATTTCGACTTCATGTATAGTAATAGTATGTACATAGAGAATATCATTAATGATGATCTTATATTTTTTTAAAATGTCTAATTGGAAATCCAAATAAATTTAGATAGAATTATTGTTTATTTCTAAAAACAGTAAAATAGAATTTTTTTATTTTAAAATAATAAATACACAACTGTGTAGTCAACCCTGTTAAACCAAAGAAACAGTAAATCCACCCCATTAAACCAAATTTGTTAAACCTAATGCTAATACTAATTTGCTAGCCTTATCTGGTCTGGGAAGATTAGTGAAAATGTCATTGATGATTGATGCAGTCTTGGTAAACTCCAGATCCACGCACCTTCTGGAATTCTGTTGCATCATCATATATTTGGGTCGCCAGGTCAAGATTAGCCTTATGCACACGAGGAAGATGTGCGAATGACTGTAAATGTGTTCAAGGTAGCGTGCGTGCTTCAACACTTGTAAAATTTCTGATAATCAAACATTGCATATCAAATTGTTTCTTTTTCAACAGTCAATGCTGCCTTGACATCTTGTAATTATATATTAATATTAGTATTATTATTATTACGATTACGCAAAGCAAAATATTATCAATGAAAATCTTGTAATTACCCAGCAAGATCTGTTCCGCGTTTTTATTCCAATTAAAATATTTATAATAACCAAAAAATATCAATACAAATAAAAAAAAGTACCTCTAGACCCAAACCAAACCAAACCACTACACTCACGTTTTGTCACCTTGGGCTCTGTCAAAAAATAAATTGTTTTTCCAAAAAAAAAAAAAATCAATCAATCAATTCGTGTCTATCCTACCAAAAAATAGGATAAAAATTAATGTGTACGCGTCGATTAAACAACAAACTTCTTTTAAAAATATTTTTTAAAAAAAAAAGTCTTCGAAAAAAGATTCTAAAAAAAGAACCAGAGAAAATAATACTGGTGCTCTTAATGAGTAAGTGTTTTAAGGGTGGTGGTGGTGGTTATCGCCCGCCACTCGTCGTTACTCTAGTTAATATAAGAAAGAAATGTTCGAGTTTAGTAGTAAATTAATGTGTGGGGACTGAATTTGTATTCGGCAAAAGAAAACTTGGCTCCTTAGAAACAAACTGATGAAATAAAGGAGAGAGATTGGGATATCCGAGAAAAAAGATCTTGGAATATACATTTATAAATTTTTTACGTCATTTTTGACTTAATGGTAGCGAATTTGACGCAATGGTTTTACAATTTTGGTCGATTATACCTTTTTTTTAATACAGCCAAACCTCGTTTCAACGAATTTTGAATGAAATTTTCTTAAATGTCTAGACACTTTGTTGAAACAAAGGTTTGACTGTTAAATATTTGTAATGACAAACTCCTACGACTGTTTAAAAATATATATTTTATAACAATTACAACCAACGACGATTAAAATCACCAACAATAGCGATAAAAGTTCTTCCTTATAATAAAATTCACTTTTCTAACATGTTAATATATTTCTTAAGTTAACTTTTCCCTCTTTTTTACAACAACAAATCTACATATAATCAATCATGCGCACACATTATTTTATTTTTCATTACATCATACACATGCACGATATTTTATTTAAAACACTGAAAATCAAAAGAAAAAAAACTGATAGAGTCGAAGCACTTGAGTAAGTATTGTTAGAAGAGAGAAATTTACGAGCTTTTCTAATCATTATTTAAAATAATGGTGGTGATGATTATTGAGCATTCTAGTCTATTTATAAATTTTGCTTTTTTATTTACTTGACAAGAAAGCAACAGAAGCAACATCGTCCACGAGTTGCTACTATTGCTATTATAATCGTAAATTGCATTCTTTTCAAACACAATCGAACCCGTTATAACGGACCTTGTTGTATTATTTGCTAGTCGCGTTATAACGGTGTTATATGTTTTTATATACAGTTAAAAGTTCGTTATAACACGTGTTATACTTTTTATAGCGAGGTTTGACTCTAACCTAATATATTAATTTAAGATTGATAAATTTGAATAACAACAGAAACAAAAATTGATAATGGTGTTTCATCTTTATTAGGTGAAATCGCAATTCAATCTTTAAAACCTTCTTTAATAAGTTTTGGAAACATCACATGGATATAGTCAAATTGATGTAGCTAAAATCACTAATAAAATCATTGGAGATGACGGTATACATGAAGAGAAAGATTCTTTTAAATTGAATTTTTTTTATATTTATTTTACTTGTTAATTATATGCATATTATGTGATTTAAAAAAAAATTGAGATTTTTATTTTGATCAATTTTTTATATGTAATAAATAATAAATAATAAATAAATAAATAAATAAATAAATAAATAAATATTTTTTTAAACTTTCACTGGTTTAACATGCCAAATACTATCTGCATATTCTTGAATAGAACGATCACTAAAAATCAATGAGACAACAAAAAATTATTATTATTACCAGAAATCATAACCATAAATACTGAAATTTTAAATCATTCATTCTTATATAAAAAAAAAATAATGCTTACGAAGAAAATTTGCCCATACGAGCAGTACAAAGAATACTTTTCTTCGTCCATTCCTCTTGATCTTTATAAGAATCATCAACCATTTGTTGTGCTCGAAGATATGATTCAAAATCATCAGAAATTAAGTAATAATCTTTGCCAATTGTTAATGTACTGATCAGCGGAGCAAATATTCTTGGATCACCAAATTGTCCGGATTCAATAATTGTTATAACACTTTTTAATTTTGGATCCATCTCAATGTTTCGATATCTTTTGGGGAAACAGGAAAAAGATTGAGGGAGGTGGGATGACAGGAAAATCATAAGTAAATAATTAATACATTATTTATTTATTTTATATATATATATTCCCTCTTTCTCTTTTTCTAAACGTGGATACACACCTATGAGCATGTCTTAAGTCACTAACAGCATCAGCCAAATTTCCAAAACTGAAAATATTTTCACCTGAAATTTCTTGATGAATTTCAATATTGGCACCATCTACTGTTCCAAGAATCAAACCACCATTCAACACAAATTTCATATTACTTGTACCAGAAGCTTCTGTACCAGCTGTTGAAATATGTTGTGAAATGTCTGAAGCTGGAATAATAATTTCTGCAACTGACACATTATAATCTGGTATAAATACAACCTATAAAATTTAGGAACGTTGAATGGATGAACGAGGGAGAATGATTAGAAAATATTGATGGATGAACGAATGAGGGCGAAGAAAATATTAATGTTAATAATAATATTATTAGTTTAATCAATAATTATAATTCATAATAATTATATTCTACTTACTTTCAAAGAATCATGAATACTTATATCATTATTAACAACTTCTGCAACATTGTTTATCAATTTTATTACTAATTTAGCAATATGATATCCTTTTAATAGAGTGAGTAATAATAATTAAAAATATTGTTATTATTATTAGTAATAGTAAAAAAATTTAATGATAGCAATGATGATGATAATTAATTAATTCACCTGGAGCAGCTTTACCACCGAATATAACAACACGAGGGATTACATTTGAAATTTCATCAGCACTCATTTTTTTTAAAGCAGTATAACGATGTATAACACTATAAAAATAATAGTAATAAATTTTTTAAAATATCGTGTTTGAAACAAAAAAAAAATACAACATTTCTTTACGTCCAATAATCATTATAATTACCCCAAAATATTCATAAATTGTCTTTTATATTCATGAATTCTTTTTACTTGAACATCAAATAAGGCATTTGGATTTACTATTATATTAGTATGAGTTTCAATATGCTTAGCCAAACGAGCCTTTTACACATTATTATAAATAAGAGTTACTAATATGTGTGCATGCGCAAAATATATAAAATATATTATTATATTATATTATACTAAAATATATACCTTATTTGTACTTTTGATATTTCTCCATTGTTTCCTGAAATCTAAATCATCGGCATATTTTTCTAAATTTTTTAATAAGTATAAATTCTTTAACCATTCTTTGGTTTGCAATGTTTTTGTTATCAAATCACTTAATCTAGGATTTGCTTGATGCAACCATCTAAAATCAAGAGGATGCAAAATAAAAAGCAAAGGAAATTAATTTTATATTTTCCTCCATAAATAAACAAGACACGATATCTACTAATGAATGAATGAATGAATGTATGAATTTATAAAATTACCTGCGAGGGGTAATACCATTGGTTTTGTTTTCAAATTTGTCCGAACCATAAAATTTTACAAAATCTTTAAATACCTAAATAATAATAATAATAATAATAATAATAATAATAATAATAATAATAATAATAATATAATGTGAAAAATGAAAACAAAAATAATAAATTTATAAATTTATAAACGATTATTATAATGAATAGATTTTACCGTTTCCTTGATCAATCTTGAATGAAGTTCAGCGACTCCGTTAACACGATGTGAGCCTACCAATTTTCATATAATAAAAATAAATATGATAGCATTATTATGATTTGGTAAAAATAATTTGAAATAATTATTAACATACCGACAATAGCAAGATGTGCCATTCTGTTTAATTAAAACATTTCAACCAAAAAAACATTTAAATTGGTTTTTTAATACATAGCATATGAAACCATTATTTTAATAATGATAATATTATAATTATCAACTAACCTGACAAATTGTGGGGATGCTTCTTCAATAATTGATAACTTGGCTAGAAGATCTCGTTCTTTTGGAAATCTTCTTTCAACTTCTTGTAAAAAGAACTATAAAGTAAATTAAATCATGAGTAGTCAATAAATCAAATAATCAATTGTAATGATTCAATAAGTCGATGTCTTTTCCTTACAAGATTTATATCAAATATAATTTGCATATGTCTTGGTAAAATTCGTGAAACCATAGGAACTTGCCATTTCTCCATAGCTTCAGGAAGTATAGTGTGGTTTGTAAAAGCAAATGTTTTGGTAACAATATCCCATGCTTCATCCCAACCAAGTTCCTAAATAATGAAACAACATTTTTTAAAAAAATTATGAAAATAATGACAATGGTTATATTTGTATTTGTACGTGACTTACTTCAATATCAACTAAAATCCTTTGAAGTTCAATAATTGCTAAAGCTGGATGAGTGTCTAACATATATATCATTAAAAGATGCGCATGTATTAGGAAAATTGTGTTTTCAATGAAAAATAATACACATGACAAATATTTGTTAATTATGTACCATTCAATTGGATCGCAACCTAATTAATTAGAATTATGTTAATATTATTACTACTGCTACTACCAAGAAAAAATATATTCAATCAATTAATTGATTAATTAAATTACCCGTGTAGGAAAATCACTCCATGGTTTATTGGATTTTCTAAACCGACGAACACTATACGTAGACAAAATATTACTTGAATATCTCATTTATACCAAAAACAAAAACATTCAATTTCAATTTAATTTACATGTCATAAAGACTTGCAGCAACCCAAAAATATTGTTGCTTAAGACGTAATTCTTTTCCAACCATATGATTATCATTAGGATATAATACTGCAGTTATATTTTCAGCTTGTTTCTGTTCATACACAGCTTCCTCATATTCTCCCTCATTGAAACTTTTAAGATTAAATTGACGTTTAGGTTTACTACTCCATAATCGAATATTATTACAATTATTTGTATCGTATCCTGTAAATGAATAAATGAATGAATCAATGTGTGTAGTGTGAACTTTTATAATTAATTTAAATGTAATTTCTCGAATATTTTATTATTTATTAATATTTACCTGGGATGGGGACATCATAAGCAACAGCTTCTACAGTGTCAGCACTTTCCCAGGAATATCTAGTATGACCTTTTTTATCAATATATTTATTAACTGATCCGCCAAATTTAACATCAACTACAACATCAAGACGTGGTAACTCCCAAGGATTATCAAAGTTTAACCAATAATCAGGAAATTCTACTTGATATCCATCATTCAATCTAAAATGATTGTATACAAAAAAGTTGGCATTTTATATTTCATAGTAGAATTTATTTTTTATTTTTTTTTTTACATTCATCCAACATTTATTTACCTTTGTTGAAAAATACCATAAGTGTAACGAAGGCCATATCCCCAAGCAGGAATATTTAAAGTAGCTAAAGAATCCATATAACAGGCAGCAAGACGACCTAAACCTCCATTACCAAGTGCAGCATCAACTTCTTGATCAAGGACATCCTCCATACTAAATCCTAATTCTTTTATTCCCTCTATAGCACACACACACAAATATGTAAATATTAATAGGATAAAAATCAATTAATTTAATCAATTAATTACTAGATTATTGTTATATTAATTAACCTCCACAAACATCTTTCATATTTAAATTAAGAAGAGCATTGTCCAATGATCGACCCAACAAGAATTCCATTGATAAATAGTAAACGCGCTTAGGATCAACTTCAGTATGTTCCTAAACAATTAGAGGCATGAATAAATTTTTTTTTTATTTTCTTATTTTACACAAAAAAACAAACCTGTTGAGTAAAATTCCAACGCTTAATCAATGTATCTCGAACGCTAATAAATAATCACATATTCATCATATATGTAATAATAAATGAATTACAATCATTTTTTTAAAAAATCAAAAACTAAACCTACGTGTGAGCAGTTGCTTGATAAGCACTAAAATCATCAACATTGTATATGGATCTAGCAAGTGTTGTTGATACATGATTGACAAAGGCTTTCTGAAAACTTTCTTTATCTGATTTTCAATTGATAATCGGGTTTAAATTTATTTTTTTACATTGTGATTAATTATTTATAATAATTAATCGGGTTTATACCATTTGGCTCTTGAACAGAGTATTTTTCCCATAAGCGACAGGCAGTTGAATAATTTTTGTCTGCAAAAAAATCCTTTCCTGGCCCTCCAGTGTAAGAACGTTCACGTTTCTTCGTCTCTGGTGTTGTTTTTGTTGAATCTATTACCATTTTGGCATAAAATTATTATTATTTTATAATTTTAAAAAAAATAAGTTACGTACGTATGTTATCTTGATAATCAATCTGAGCAATCTTAAATACAACTATCGGTTAATTTAATTGGACAATAATAAACATACGAGAGTAATAGTAATGGTAAAGATCCAAAATAAGAAATAGATTAGACCATGTAAATATTACATATAATATATTCATTCGACATCAAAAATTTAGCACTGGATGCGAAACATCCTAGCATCCTATCCTATTGTGCATTCATGATCAAATGATGCGATTCTTAACGAAATAGACCACCTCGTGGCCAAATGGTGCGTTAATCGAGTAGTCTAATAAATTACTACGAAAACATATAAATAGACCCGCTTGTGGACCAAAAATCGCAAAAAAAAAGTGCATTGGTTTTTCTTTTTACGTTGCATTCGAATTCAAGGATCGAATCACGTAATGCCGATATGGCGTTCTATGTATGATTTGGCTTTACACGTTACTTTTAATTTCATTCGTTACATTGAGCAAATAATTTATTTAAAAAAAAATTACACATACAAAGGGAAATTGTTCACAAATTTAATAAATTTAATAAAAAAAACCTTTTGCAAGAACCTCGTGTGAATCAAAAGTTATTTTAATTGTTAGAAAAATCAACAAAGTTTTTTTTTTTTTTTTAATTAAAAAAAAATATCTTTTTGTTCTGATCTTTTCCTCGTGTTTATTTATTTATCCCAGATTAAAAGGTCAATTGGATCAATTGAATTTTTTTTTTTTTTAGTAGAATAAAATTCATGCAAACATCAAAATTTAGTAATTTCGATTGTTAAACCATGATTTTTTTTACAAGAAAAATAAATTGCAAAGATAATCGGTGGATTTTTGTTTTGCTTTTTCCGAAAGGAATTTTCCATTTACGAATTTTATAAAAATTAACTTTTTCTTATCTAGCTAGATCATCAAATGAAATCAAAATAAAAATTTATCCGCTTCTCCAAAAGGAAATTAAAAATAAAATTTTTCTCAAATGGTCAAATCAAAAACACGAACAATCAAAATTCTGTATATATTGTTTATGAAGTATTTTTGAATCCTGGTCTCGTGACCCGAAAATATCTAACACGTTGTGTGACAAGTCTTTGACGAACTGGGATCCGAAGTAAATGCTCCAAGGCAATGCCATAAGTTTTTGGTCATTTTGAACGGTCTAAAACATCAGACCAAGATAAAAACCTATCGGTGGACAACGATGGACACTGTGCAAAAACATCTAAAGCGAAACACGATTTCCTTTTGGTCAAGTAACTGCTTCGCTCAACCCTGATGTTTTGAACAAAAAATATAGATAGAAATGGGAATTCACATGATACGGAGATGTAAAAATAACCACAAACATTTATCATTTTTGGAAAACAAAAATATTTTGTTCAAATTTCAATTTTAACAAATCAATTTGCAGCAAAAGTTGTGCAACAAAATGTTTAAATCGTGATTCGTCATCGTAACTCTTAATATTAACAAAATATAAACTTTATGTAATTTTATCGACCTATAGTTTAAGAATTACACATTTCAATGTTTGTGTAAGTTTTGTTTGAATCATTTTGATATAAAGTGAAAAGAGAATCTATAGTAATGGGAAAAAAATTGAAATAGTAATTGATACAAAATGGTAATTTATGGGTAAAGCTTGACAAGGAGAGGATTATTTTGTTAATAAATTTCAAAAAACAAATTATCGTAAAAAAAGATTTTGTTTTCAGTTTAAATAAAGACTTAAAGAATAAAAAGTGTTAATAAATATCATTTAATTATTTTTCAGCTTTAATAATTATTATGTTAAATGTGATCAAGTTCTGCATATGCTATTCATTAAAAATATCATGCAAACTCAATATAAATCCTGAAAGAACTTGTGAATGAATCTGAACAGGATTATTGAATTCTTGCCAAACATGTTCATAAATTCTTACTGTGTGCACAAAAGGATCAATCAAAATTACTTCCTAGACAAACATAATAATAATCAATAGACAAGACAATAAAAACAAATAGTCTACTTACCTGGACTCCTCCATTCATCCATTACAGCATTTTCCTATAAACATACTCAGGTGAATTATTCCTTGAACGTAATTCCACAACAAAGTTTGGTGTTACTGGTGGAAAAACCATCATCTGATAGAATGTTCCATCTACAATAATAAAAATCAAGGATTAAAAAAATAATGTAGACATACAAGTTATCTTTGCATTTGATAATGTTTAGAAACCTGGTAGTTGGGAGACAGAATACTATGGATGTACAAATTTTGAGATTTGTGAATTCTTTGACAGGCTGGCTCAAATTCACTTTTGTACATTTGGGATTTGGGCAGCATGTATAATTGGGACACCTTTGTTAGTATAGTTGTATATAATATGGTAATGTACCAGCAATTTTTGTTATATTATACCATATAATTCCCAACATAATTTCCATATTTAGTTAGCAACACTCCGAATTTCTCAATTTAAAAATCTATGAAAAAAAATCTTTTTACATGAATTGACATGTTGAATTAAATAGTGGTGATTAAAGCTCCTAATTGGTCGGGTTCGGGTTGATTTCGGGCCAATAAGAAAATATTGTAATTTACATAAATTTAGATAATAATAAATAAAAGGCGAAACAGTTATATTGGTTTAAAGCTGCAATTGGTGTTATGAGTGACGCAAAACACAATTCATGATGCAAGAGATCTAGGACGTAATTCGTGACGCAAGACGTAACTCAAGGCAATTCATGACGCAAGACGTAACTCAAGGCAATTCGTGACGCAAGACGTAATTCAAGACACAAGGCTAGTGATGATGGCCGGTACTAACTCATAGTTTAGGCGACGAAGTTGGCGAAACCTAAACTGCGAGCGAAAACAAAGTGGTCAATTAAACCCTAAAAGTGTTTTATTGATTTGTTTTATTATTAAATTATATTATTACAAAACGAATTAGATCAAAAAGTGACATTATTTTTATGATAATCATAATCTTCCTTAATAAATATATTAATAAAAAATACAACAACGAAAAAGACTATATTGATCACACGATTGGACGGCACTTCGATAAATCCGTTTTATTTATCATAAAACTTTGCTCATAGGTTTGACAATTTAACCACAGTTTAGGAGTTTAGGCAATTTTTAAGTTTAAGAGCCTAAATCCCTAATTTCTATAGATAAAACTATTTTGGATTTGCTAAAATGATTTCGGTCGCCATCACTACACAAAACACAATCGTGATGCGTGTATGAATTAATTCAAACTTTAACCACATATAAACTTTTTAATTGTTTTAATTTTTAATGCAACATCAATGCTTCATAGCTAAAAAGGTTTTGTTAGCTAATAAATTGGTATGAATCATGTTTTACCATGAATTGAGACTTGCATCACGAATTGCATCTTGTGTCAGTTGTATAAAATTATGATAGGTGGGCAATGCAAATTTTTATTGCAATTTAATAATTTTGACCTCAAGTATAATTGGTACAGCCCAAAAAAGTTTTCGGGTTTCGGGTTAGTCCGACCCGTTTGGAGCTTTGGTGATTCTTAATTGAATCACATGATATTTCAACTTCGAGTACAGATGATAGGAATTTCAAAAAACTAACATGGGCCAGATACAATTTTCTTAAACAATTAAAATAATGGCTAATTTGGCCACTGTCACTAATATGATGATAACTACAACAACATGATGATAATTATAATTCTTTTAGCAAATAAAATTAAATAAATATTTTATTTTAAAGTTCCTGTTGTATAAATTCACCATATCTTGATACAACCTCATCCCATGTTTTTTCTTCTTCTAATAATCCCTTAAGAAGTTGAAGTATATCGCTTGTCTATAAAAAAAACATTATAATTATTATCGTTATTAACAAATTAACAAACTAATAATTTATTAACTAAATGATTGGATTACCTCTGTTCTGATTTGCTTGGTAGTATCACGTTCTCGTAATGTCGTTGTACCATCTTTAACTGATTGAAAATCTATAGTTATAGCAAATGGTGTACCAAGCTCATCATTACGAGAATAACGTCTTCCAATTGAGTTGGATGAGTCATCAACTTTTATTGAAATACCCAACTTTCGAAGTTTGTTGGCTATATAAGAAAAAAAAAAATTATTAATTGAATGATTTATTATATACATATCACAAAAGAAATAAATCACAATTTATATCGTACAAGTAAATACATACAAATGTCACGAACAAGTTCAGAAAATGCTGGATTGTTACTTAATGGTACCAACAGACATTTAAATGGTGCAACACGTGGAGGAAAAGATAATACCTAATAAATAAAATTGATTATAATCTCAAATTGACATTATGAAATGAAATGCATAAATGTCAGTATACATACTGATCTTTGTTCATCACCTTCTCGTGTCCAAAACACATGTTCAATCAATGAGTATAATATACGTCCAATACCAAATGATGGTTCAATCACATTTGGTGTATACTCCCTAACTGAAAAATTTATAAAGAAATAAATTATTATTAAGCCATGTAATTAATTTAGTGTAATATAGTAATTATACCATGCTCTGTGATTGTTTGACGGCTAATGGTGACTAAATCACTTGTAATTTCATATGTATCACCATCAGTTCCAACAGTAACATTAGTTTTTCTATAAACATATGCATAAAGAATAATAAGAATAATGCTTATAATTATTTTTTTGATTACATATACAGAAATGTTTTACTTACCCATCACCATCATCTAATGCTTTTTTCAAGTTGTCAAGTTCAATATCATTTAATCCTACCAAATATTCTTCAACAATTTTGGATTTTTGTCGAAATTTGGGCCCAAACACTTTTTTGTTTATTTCCAAAATTGTCTTCTCATAAACTATTGGTGTTTGTAAACTTTCCCGCACCACAAGTTTTTCTTTGGTACGATTCGAATGAACTGTTAAATCATATGCTGAACGATCTGCACATCCAACACATTCAATCCATCCCTAAAAAAAATTTAAAAAAAAAATTTAATAACAAATAGTGAAAAAAAACCAATATGTAAATAGATTATTAATATATTAAAATGTGATAACAAACATAGCTACTTTGAATTTCTGCATCCCAACAATCACAGGCATAATGTGCCATCTCATTTGGCATATGTTGACGAAAACGAAGTTTTTCATATTTTATTCCAAGTTTGAGTAAAAACAAATGTATCCTTGCAAGAAAATAACCTAGTGTCTGATTATCAACTATTTTCTATTAGGTTGTTTTAATTAGGATTAGCATAATATAATGAAATGGATTTACATGATAAATATTATTTATTTATTTACTTTATTAACTGCTTCACCAATACTCATCTCAATAGGTTCTAATTTGCCCTCTTCCTGTATTGACTGAGGCAATAATCGAAGCTTAATGTCTTTTACTTCATCAAAACGTGCGTGATCTTTTTTGTCAGGATCAACGTAATGTTCTATTTCTGCCATAGTAAATTCTCTGAATAATTAAACAATTGCAATTTAATATATATAATTCTATTTTTAATTTATTTACAATTACTTTATATATATATATATATATATATAACTCAACCTGACTCTAAGAAGACCAGATCTGGGGCTAATCTCATTTCTAAAAGACCGCCCAATTGATGTTGATGCAAAAGGCATTTTGGAATTATTAAATTCTAGAAATTTCTTAAAATTTAAGAATTGACCTTGAGCAGTTTCTGGTCTTAAATAACTAAATTAATTAATTAATTAATTAGTTTAATAAATAAGTTAATTAACAAGTACAGTCAGAACTAGTTAAACTAAAGTCAATGCTATCACAAAAAAAAATTTCGGTTTAAAAAACCTTAATAAAATTGGCTTATAAAGATAAATTTAACGGGTAGATAATAAAAAATATTGGTTTATCATGTATATTCATTTATAAAGCATCTTCTGGCTGTAAATTTAAATAAATATATATACGAAAAATTAATCATAAAAGAAATTACCCTTTGAGATGACCAGTAGGCCCAATACTGGTTTCGAACATTAAATTAAACTCTACAGGTTCAGATAAATCATTATTTGTTTCTGGGCTTTTAATATTGTGTTTACGTATAATTTCTCCAAGTTCTGGTCCAGTATAATTATCTATCTATATAGAAAAGTTCAAAAGTTAATAATTAATATCAAAATTAAATATATACAAAAATACAATAATCGTATTTTACTTTTGCCAATATTCCTTCATATTCATTTTTAACAGATTCTTCCAATTTTTTTAAATTTGAACTTTTATTGTTCTTTTTTTTATTATTATTTTTTCCGCCCTTAGTCTTAACAACACCACGATCATCACCAACTACAGCACCACGATCATCACCAACTACAGCACCACGATCATCACCAACTACAGCACCACAATCATCACCAACTACAGCACCACGATCATCACCAACTACAACACTATCAACAGCTTTCAACTGTTTATCATCTATCAATCTTTTCTCCAAAACATTTTCAATCAAATGATCTGCACGAAAAATATCACCAGTCTTGACATCTTTAGTCATCCAATCTGTAAACTTATCAACATGTCCAGAAGTTTTCAATACATCTGCCAAAGTCATAATACTACCATCCATTTCCAACATATCTTCCTCTAGAACAAAATGTTTTCGCCATATATCAAGTATATTAGTTTGTAAAGCACAACCTGCCGGTCCATAGTCATAAAGCCCACCAACACCACCATATATTTGAAAAGAAGGCGCGTAAAAAAATCTTTTCTTTAAAACTTCTTCTAATGCTGAACGATTAAATGTTGCTGTTGCTGCTGCTGTTGAAGTTGTTGTTGTTGACATTCTTTTTGTATTTTCAAAATTTTTTATTATTAGAATTGATTTTGATGTGTTGCTGTTGTTAATTAGGCAATAATAATTTTTTTTTATTCTTTGAAATATTAATAACGATGATGACGATAGTGTACAACTATTAAAAATTTTCTTTAAAATCATATCAGCCAGCTAAATTAGCATAATCGCATGATCTGCAATGTTGATCGCTTCCAAGAATATTTGGAACTAATTTTTTTCAAAAAACAACCGATTACTTTCGTTCTAAATTTATATTAAACTAACCAATCTGATTGATTTCAAACAAATTAGAGATGGAAATAATGTCTCATCGATTATTTCAAAAATAACTCTCGCAGCTTTAGATGGGTGGCATTAATAGGCAGGGCAACTAAAGAAACTAGAGATAAAAAACTTTTGTATGGCATATCAGGTCATCATTGAAGCAATGACAATTCTACAAAAAATCAAATTTATAAATAAAAGTCGAATCAGAAAATAATAATATTATTTATTTTAAACATATATGAATATATATATACAGACGAAAATTTTTACATTCAAGTTTCTGATTATATAAAAATAAAATAAAATAAAATAATAATTTATTTATTTGTTATATACTGTATATAAATATAAATAAATAAAAATTTAATATAAGAAAATAATATTAATTTAGTGTTTTGATATTTATATTTTTATATCTTAAAAGCAAAATAAAATAAAAAAATTTCTACGGCAACGATAACAACATGAATAACAATAATAATGATCATAATGATATGAAATTTATCATATAAATGATAAAAGTATAAATATATATGTTTTGAATATGATGCAATTATTTTTCTTTTCTCTCACCTTGAAAAAAATTAATTAATCAATCATTATCAAATCGACTTCGTCTTTCCCTAGATCCCAAGTTTCTTCTTCTAAAAATTGCAACAAAATCATTTATGGCTATTCTTAATTTATTCCAATCTTGTTCTTGGATAGCTCTATTATATTAATAAACATTGAAATTGATATATTGAACCATTAAATATTAAAACAATAAACATCAATAAAAAATTCAAAATTTACATACATATTAGCATCTCTTATAAACATATTTTTTTGATCTATTGTTAAATTAGCATCCTGTAACTGTTGAGCAGATTCTATTATCCATTGTTGACACTCTAACGGAAATAATCTAGCCAATGATTTAATGATTTCATGACAATCTGGTTGTAAATCTCTAGGAAATGTGTATAAAAGACCTTTAAACATTGATGAAACTAATTGTAAACCAAATTGATTAAATAATGTTTCAAGTGTTAGTAAAGCGGCAGTGGTTGATTCCGATGATTGTTGTGTAGTTGTAGTAGGTGTAGTGGGTGTAATTGGTGGATTCTGTGATAAGTTGGTGGATTGTAATACTCCACTTCTTATATTATTAGCACCACCGCCTTGTTGTTGTTGCTTTAGTTCGACAGTAAATGCTAGAAATTTATTAAAAAATGTAATGATTGAAAATAATGCATCATGTTGTTCTAATGTTAAACTTGTTAAGCCTGCCTGTACAACTGTTGGAAGAATTCTTGAACTTGAAAAAGTGAATGGTGCACAATCAACAAATGCGATTAACATTCTGAAATAATCCTCAATCACTGCGCATATATTAAAATTATTGAGTCAACACATGTGTAATATTTTTATTTTTGAAATTTAAGTAATAAATATTTACCATCTGGAATATCTTCTAATTTCTTTTCACTAAGAAACTTAAACATAGAAACACTTAACCGTTGAACAAATGATAACAATGCCAATGTAGCAGCAGTCCCTTCGCCATCTGTATGTTCACGTACACATTTTGTTGCAACCCATAAATAACAACTTAATCCAGTTTTATCAAATGTGGTAACCAATCGTTCAATAAGTTCCGGCAGCAATGGTCGAAAGTAGACACGATATGAAACCACACAGTATTTGAAACATTTACAAATACTTTCTGACAATTGAGGATTGTCACCAAAATGTACCAATAAAAGATCAATTACAGGCCACAATTCTTGTATTATGGCAATAGATGGGTGAACTTGTAAATTCGTGACCTCTGCATTGTTTGATTCTTCTTGACGTTCGGCGATAGTACGAATGATTAATGATACTTGTTCCAGTTTATCTAAATAATGTGTGAATTTTTTTAAAAAAATTTTAATGCTTAATATAACAAACAAATATACATACACCCACATATGCACATATAAAAGAAGATTGTTTACCACATGCTTCACGAATTTCTTTATCATTTATTGAAGAGGCCCCATTCGTATACTTATTAGCAAATTCATGCAATTTTTGTGCAATTGGAAGACAGAACATCTGCAAATACTTCAACAAATCTGACGGTTGCACTGCTGCAATCACATATGCCACTGCCTCAGTGACCTCAAATAAATCTATTCCGTGAAGAGTATTTGTTACATTAAGATAGAATATATGAAGTTGCGGCAGAAATTCTATTAAAAGCTATATTATTAACAATGAAAATAACATTTAATATTATTTTTGTTATTATAATTCATATAGTATTAGAACCAAATGAAAATTTTTTTACTAACTCCACTACAATCTTTGGATAAATATTTCAATGCTAAAGAAGAAGCAGCAGAAACTTCCTCATGTTCGATTCCAGAAGAAATGAAATTCAATTGAAAAGGTATGAACTCGGGATGTCTTCTAGTCCAATGAGAATATCGGGCAATGACCAGAGTAGCAGCATACCGAATTTTTGGATGATTAGGTAATTGTTGTAGGAGTTGCATAATTTGTGGTAAGACAACACTTTCCTCATCCTCAACTTCCGAACCCATTGCTCTTAAAGAAAACAAAGGTGCCTCAATCTCTTGCCATTCTGCAGCACAACCATTAATGGCATTCCCAGAAATGTGAGAAGTCAAGATATTATATGGTTTTGATAGACATTCCTGAGAGCCAGCAATAAGGCAACTATCTTTAAGTACATCGCCCATTACATGTCGAAATTCACGAAACTCGTCACGTTTCTCTGCTGTCCAACTTGAAAGATCGTTAGGGTAGTGTAAATGTTTAATCATGACATTAACTAGAGCAGAATAGATATTTTTAAATTTATGTTTAATGTCCGCATGTCTAGGCTCGTATAAAGTATCGGCCAACATATGCCAAAAATAAAAAGTTATTCTAACAATTTCTGTATCATGATAGGTAGTACATTCGGCAATACTCTCAACTATACTTTGAAAAGCGTCAGAATGTTGAACGATTAATTGAAGATAAGACTCGCCGGCTTGAGTAAAAATACGACAATATCCTCTAACTTTATCATCATCCTCGTCTAACATTGCTCGTTTCAACGACTCTCTTAATGGTAACAAACGAGGATATATTTGTTCGATTAAGGTCATTGATTCGGGAATTCCACCACTTTCATGTATGATTTGACATACGAGATCAACGGCAATATCATAAAGTTCATCTGACTGTAATGCTTCAAATGAAATGGCTAGAAATGGATTTGATTCTAAAGCCGTTACCGGAATATCTCCTGAATCTATCCAACTTAACAAACACTCAAATACTTTTACTTGATATTCGGTCGATGTACCTAATAACAAATAAATGGTGAGTAGATAGGTAATAGTAGATAATTAATTAATAGGTAGGCGATTGATAATAAAAATAAAACTTACCCAAATTTTGTAAATAAATTAAAAGTGTTTGTAAAACTTCATTGGCGTTATCTGTCAATAATTCTTTTGCCCTAATTCTAAACTCGTGATCCTTGTAAAACCAAGCACACATATACAATAATTAATAATTAATAATGATGCTAGAAAATTAAAAAATAACAATTTATCCAAAATGGTCTACCGATATGGGTATACGATTATTTGTATAGACTTCTTCAGGTAAAATTTTTAGAAATTCAAGTAGACATAATATAGTTTCGGGATTTTTTCCATAAAATTCAGCAACCTGATGTGTTACATTTTTCCAATCTTGCATTTGGAGAGCCAATGCAGCGATAGATAAGCATAGTTGAGTAATCACATTACGAGGACCAGATCGATATTGGTAAAGAAGTTCTAGGAGTGAATCACGGAGTGAAATACGGGCATTCGAGTCAAGTTGATGTAGGTCAAGAGTTATCTTCAGAAAGAAATAAAAGTATTAAAATTTATTTATTCACATATATTGTATTTGTATAGATCATATGAATGAACATACTTTTTGTCTTAAAGTCCTAGCACAGAAATAGCGCGCCTCAATAAGTACTTGAGGATCCTGGTGTTCTCTTAATAGGTAATTTGATATCGACCAAGCTTCAGACTGCAATAATTGTCAACGATTTTTATTTATAATTAAAAAGAAAATTTTATGTTGTGATGATTTCTTTTTACTGTTTGTTTGAAATAATAATATTTATATATATATTTTCTTTTTTTTTTTTATTAGTTTTGATCTAAAGCTCTATCTCTTAAGATTCTTTTTAAAAAAATTACCGTTTTTTGAAAAGCCTGTAACCAATTATCTGCTTGTTCTTTTCTCGTTTTATTTTGTGAATTGTATAAAGCATCAACTTCCTTTAAAAATGCTTCTGTATTAATATCGGACATGACCGTAAAAAAACTAGTTTAAATATAAATAAATATATGGTTAATTGGATCTATTTGATCCTGTTGTATGTCTGAGTAATATTAATGAAAATAATAGTTTTTTTTTAAAAATCAAATGAAATCAATTAAGTTAGAGTGATTTATTTAATATTATTAATTGAAAAAATAAATTTGGAAAGGTCAAAGAGATTATATCATTTATTTAAAATTAAGAAATAAAAATGATCATTAATTAATTATTTTATATCGCGAATTGTCCTTGTAATATTAATATAATTTTTTTTTGGATTGTAAAATTACACAGTTACACGATCTTTTGTTTTTGATCAAAAATAACAAATTTTTTAAAAAGAAAAATGTTGACTAAAAAAGTTTCTTCAGGAGAAAATTCAATTTTTAATTACGATAATATAAACAAGAAATTTATTATTAAAGGTGAAGATGTTAGTGATGGTGATAATGATGAGGAGGATAGTGATGAGGAGGAGTTATGGTTAATTAAATTGCCAGGAAATGTTAATAAATCAGATTTTAAAGGGTTAACGATTAAATTACCGGAAGAAGATAAGGGTAGTGATGATAGTGATGACGATGAAAGTGTCAATGATAGTGGTGCTAATGGTGTTAATGGCAGTAGTGGTAGTGATAGTAAGTTTAGTATAAAAAGTGTAGCAAAATTTAAGAAAACAATATCAGGTGATGAGTACAGTTTAAAAAAAGAACGATATGAATTTGAAGTGTTTCAACTTTTGTCTTCATCACGAGATGATAGTGATGATGATGATTATAATAATATTGAAGACAACTATCAAGAAGATGATAATATTAATAGTATTAGTAATAGTAATAATCAAATAACATTATCAAATCATAAATTAACGTTAAAAACAATGAAAGAATTTGAAATCTTATTACCAAATCCTAAAGGAGCAGATGGTGGTTTGACATTATCAAAAAGAAAACCAGATCGTTACTTTAATGTGCAGCTTAATTACAATCTGTCCAATACTAAAAATAAAATTAATAATGGTGTTGATAAAGAGGGTAAAAGTGATAATATGTTGTCAAAAATACCCGAGCATCCACCAGAAATATATATTGAAAGAAAAATCGTAACACCATATCAAGAAATCAGGCAAGAATATATGAAATGTTATGAAGCTGAACATAATAAATATTTAGAGAAGTTAGAAAAGAAATGGAAGATTAGTAGATGGAATAAAAGATTTAAAAAACATCTTAATGAAGAGAAAAAAGAAATGAAGAAATGGCGCAAAGAATTTCAAAATGCTGTAATGAACTCACAAAAAGAATTTTATGAGAAACTTGGAGAACTTAAATTGGAGGGGAAGGAAGTTAAAAAGGAAGAGGAGGATGATACTAATACTTGGCTAGAAAATTTAAAACGTAAATTGGATGATGATGATGATGGATTCGAACAATTATTAAATCTAAAGAAAAATCAAGAAAAGAAACGGGTTAGAAAGGAAAAGGAAGAGCAAACAAAAGCATTAGAAACTTGGAGACTTGAATATTCTGGTCTACCTAGATATAAACCACCAGAAACATGGTGGGCAAAAAAGAGAGATAAGATCATGAAGGAAGCCATGAAGAAAATTCCACCAAAGAAGCAAAAATAAATCTCAAATTGTTTTTAATGCTAAATCAATCAAAAACAAAATAAACAGCAAGTATATACTTTTAAATAGTTTATTTTATAATTTACATTTATATAAATTTTTTTTTCAGATATTCAAAATGTTATATTAAAGTTGTGAAGAAAATTAATGAGAAACCAAATTAGATAGTAATAATACAATTAAAATTGGTAGATTTTCAGGTGGCAGATTAGACGATTTTGCAGTTAGAAAAACATTAAGATAGATGCAAGAAAATTGTTACTAAAAAAAATATATTATTAAATTATTTATTTAAATTTTTTTATTAATAATTTTTTACATAATTACGTTGTGATCTTGATCCTTTTCCACCACCAAGGATAACATTGGAGGAGCAATCATTTATATTTGTATTAATATAGTTTTTTAACTATCATTATTATTATTAATAATAATTAGTTTAATTTGATTTTGAATATATATTGGCTTTTGTAGCATAAACATACCATTGTTCATAAATTTGTTTATAAAGGGTTTAATGTTACTCATTATCATTACTGTTATTACTGTTTATGTCATATCTCCACATCATTATCATCAAATTCACAATTATACTGAACCAATGGAAGTTCATTAGCAATATCATAGACCAGCTTAGCTAGAAGTTTCTTTACATCTAAAAGGTCACTGATTACAAATGGCTTTTCTAATCTTTTACCTACTAAAAATAAAATTGACATTATACAACAAACCAGATGCAAATTTTTTTTTCATAAGCTTCTCTATTATCACTGTTCTTTTTATTTTTTATTGGGTAAATGCCTACTTCCAACACTATTATTCAAAATTTTCGATAATTTAAGAGAATAAAAATTCTTTAAAATATTCAAAAAAAAAATTTTTATGCAATTAATCATGTAT